GGGGTCGAGCCCCAAAAGCGCGCGTTTTCACCCCAAACGAGGCGATGACGTCACCTGTTGGCCACCAGCTGGAGGATTTGGAGGAGGAATTTGCCCAGGCCGCGCCGCCGGACTCTGCTCTCCAGCTGCACCTCGTAACTGTGGGGGGGAAAGGAGGGGAAGGGGTTAAAAACGGGGAGGGGAAAAAAATCCCAATTTTGGGACCAAATTTTGAGAGGAAAACCTCGAGGATTTGGGGAGGAAAACCCAAGAATTTGGGGACCAAAACCTCGAGAATTTGGGAGCAAAACCCGACAATTTTGGGAGAAAAACTCAAGAATTTGGGAACCAAAAATCCAAGAATTTGGGAACCAAAATTTCAAGACTTTGCGAAAGGAAAACCCAAAAATTGGGGGAAAAAAAATCCAAAGAATTCGGGAAGGGAAAACCCCAAGAATTTTTTAATCAAAGAAAACCCAAAAATTTTTGAACTGAAAACCCAAGAATTTTTGAACCGAAGGCCCAAGAATTTGGAGAAGAAAAACCCAAAAATTTGGAAGAAAAACTCAAGAATTTGGGAACTAAAAACCCAAGAATTTGGGGACCAAAACCGCGAGAATTTGGGAGCAAAACCCGACAATTTTGGGAGAAAAACTCAAGAATTTGGGAACCAAAAATCCAAGAATTTGGGAACCAAAATTTCAAGACTTTGCGAAAGGAAAACCCAAAAATTGGGGGAAAAAAAATCCAAAGAATTCGGGAAGGGAAAACCCCAAGAATTTTTTAATCAAAACCTCAAGGATTTGGGAATCAAAATGTCAAGAATTTTGAGGTGGAAAAACCCAAGAATTGGGGGAGGAAAACCCAACAGTTTTTGAAACAATAACTCAAGAATTTGGGGACCAAAACCCAACAATTTGGGGCAGGAAAACCTGAAAATTTGGGAACCAAAGCCCAAGAATTTGGAACCCAAAATGTCAAGAATTTGGGAGAGGAAAACCCAAGAATTTTTGAATTGAAAACTCAAGAATTTTTGAATTGAAAATCCAAGAACTTCTGAACCAAAGGCCCAAGAATCTGGAGAAGAAAAACCCAGAAATTTGGAAGAAAACACCAAGAATTTGAAAATCAAAAACCAAACAATTTTGGGGAGAAAACACCAAGAATTTGGAACCCAAAATTTCCAGAATTTGAGGAGGAAAACCCAAACAATTTTGGGGAGCAAAACCCAAAACTTTGGAAACCAAAACTCCAAGAATTTTGGGGAAAAAAATCCAAGAATTTGGAGAGAAAAACCCAACCATTTCTGGAGAAAACACCAAGATTTTGGGAACCAAAACCTCAAGAATTTTGGGGAGGAAAACACCAAGAATTTGGAACCCAGAATTTCAAGAATTTGGAGAGGAAAACCCAAACACTTTGGGAAGAAAAACCCATGAATTTTTGAACCGAAACCTCAAGAATTTGGGAATCAAAACCCCAAGAATTTGGGAGCAAAACCCAATGAATTTTGGGAACCACAAATTCAAGAATTTGGGAGCCAAAACCCAACGATTTTGGGAGCAAAACTCAAGAATTTGGGAACTGAAAATCCACGAATTTGGGAGCACAACCCCACAGATTTTGGGAGCAAAACCCCACGATTTTGGGAACCATAAATTCAAGAATTTGGAAGCCAAAACCCAACGATTTTGGGAGCAAAACTCAAGAATTTGGGAACCAGAAACCCAAGAATTTGGGAACCAAAATCCCAAGAATTTGGGAACCAAAACCCCAAGAATTTTGGGAGGAAAACCCAACAAATTTTGGGAACCACAAATTAAAGAATTTGGGAACAAAACCCAACGATTTTGGGAGCAAAACTCAAGAATTTGGGAACTGAAAATCCACGAATTTGGGAGCACAACCCCACAGATTTTGGGAGCAAAACCCCACGATTTTGGGAACCATAAATTCAAGAATTTGGAAGCCAAAACCCAACGATTTTGGGAGCAAAACTCAAGAAAACCCAACAAATTTTGGGAACCACAAATCAAAGAATTTGGGAACAAAACCCAACGATTTTGGGAGCAAAACCCAAGAATTTGGGAACCAGAAACCCAAGAATTTGGGAACCAAAATCCCAAGAATTTGGGAACCAAAACCCCAAGAATTTTGGGAGCAAAACCCAACAAATTTTGGGAACCACAAATCAAAGAATTTGGGAACAAAACCCAACGATTTTGGGAGCAAAACCCAAGAATTTGGGAACCAGAAACCCAAGAATTTGGGAACCAAAATCCCAAGAATTTGGGAACCAAAACCCCAAGAATTTTGGGAACCAAAACCCCAAGAATTTGGGGGCCAAAACCCAACAATTTTGGAAGAAAAACTCAAGAATTTGAGGACCAAAAACCCAAGAATTTGGGAACCAAAACCCCAAGAATTTTGGGAACCAAAATTTCAATAATTCGGGAGCAAAACCCAAGAATTTGAGAAAAATCCAATAAATTTTGGGAGCAAACCCCAACAAATTTGGGAACCACAAATCCAAGGATTCAGGGAGCAAAACCCAACGATTTTGGGGACGCAACCCCACATTTTGGGGGTTTTTGGCCCCGTTTTTGGGGTTTTCAGCCCCATCTTGAGGGGTTTTGGCCCCATTTTTGGGGTTTTTGGCCCCATTTTGAGGGTTTTTGGCCCCGTTTTTGGGGTTCTGGCCCTGTTTTGGGGGTACCCACCAGTAGAGGACCTCATCGCCGCACTCGACGTCGAAGCGGAAGTGGGAGAAGGCGACGGGGCGGGCGCCGGGCTCGCGGGCGATCAGGTACCAGGCCCGGTCGTCGCGCAGCTCCTCTCGCTTCTCCCGCTCCTTCCAGCCCCACTCGCTCTGCTCGTACCTGGTTTTGGGGTGAAAAACGGGGATTTTGGGTAAAAGCCAAAGGAGGAGGTGCTCACGGGGATTTGTGGGCTAAAAAACCCCAAGTTGTAGCAATTCTGGGGGGAAAAAACTCAGTAATTCAATGATTTTGAAAGTAAATAACCCCAAAATTTCAATGATTTGGAGAGCAAAAAAATTCCCAATGATTTTAGGAGGAAAACCCCAAAATTCCAGATTCCGGGGAGCAAAATCTCAATAATTTGAAGGGAAATCACAAGAATTTTGAGGAGAAAAACCGAAGAATTTGGGGAGAAAACCCAAACGATTTTGGGAGCAAAACCTCCAAGAATTTGGGGAGAAAAAACCCCAACGATTTGGGGAACCAAAAAACCAAGAATTTGGGGAGCAAAACCCAAGAATTTTGGGACCAAAACCCCAAGAATTTGGAGAGAAAAACCCAAAGAATTTGGGGGAAAAGCCACAATTGTTTTGGGAGAAAATGCCAAGAATTTGGGGAGCAAAACGCCACAAGTTTTGGGAGCAAAACGCCACAAATTTTGGGGAAAAGTCACAATTACTTTGGGAGAAAATGCCAGGAATTTGGGGAGAAAAACCCCAAGAATTTGGGGAAAAACCCCAAGAATTTGGAGGGAAAAACCCCGAGAATTTGGAGGGAAAAACCCCAAGAATTTGGGGAAAAAGCCACAATTGTTTTGGGAGAAAATGCCCACAAATTTTGGGAGCAAAACGCCACAAATTTTGGGGAAAAGTCACAATTACTTTGGGAGAAAATGCCAGGAATTTGGGGAAAAACCCCGAGAATTTGGAGGGAAAAAACCCAAGAATTTGGGGAGCAAAACCCCAATGATTTTGGGGACAAATAACCCAGATTTTGGGGGCAAACCCAGGGTTCTGGGGGCAAAGCCGAGGACTCTGGCGCGGTCACTCACAGCGCCTGCATGTTGGCCTTGGTGAGGTCGAACGCCCACTCGAGGTCCGCGGGCGCCAGCCCGGCCACGCGCTTGCACTCGATGTCCACGTTCAACCTGCGGCCGGAGAGGAAGGTGGGGAGAATTTGGAGAAATTTTGAAAGGTTTGGAGGAAATCTGGGGGGAATTTAGGGGAATTTGCAGAAATTTGGGAAAAATTGCGGGAAAATTGGGAGAATTTGGGGAAAAATTGCAGAAAAATTGGGAGAGTTTGGGGGAGAGTTTGGGGGAGAGTTTGGGGAAGAGTTTGGGGAAGAGTTTGGGGAAGAGTTTGGGGAAGAGTTTGGGGAAGAGTTTGGGGAAGAGTTTGGGGAAGAGTTTTGAAAAATTGGGAGAATTTTTGGGGAATTTTGGGGGGGAATGGGGAAACTTGGAAGGGGAAACTTTGGGGAAAATTGAGGCAGAAATTGAGGGAAATTTTTGGAAAATTGGGGGACATTTTGGGGGAAATTGTGGAAA